GGCCCGGTTACCGTGTACGTAGACCCTGAGGCTACAGGCCCGGTTACCTTGTACGTAGACCCTGAGGCTACAGGCCCGGTTACCGTGTACGTAGACACTCCGTTTGAAATTCATCCGTTTTGAGAGAGTAAAAATAAAACAAGTAGATTGAGAAATGTATGTACAGTCGAACCTGCCACGACGGACACCTGTATAATACGGCAACCTGTACAAACGGCCACTTTCCACACCCCCTCCCCCCTACGTTTTTGCTATATAACTGAACTGTGTAAAAGGGTCACCTGTCCAACACGGCCGCGGCCACCTTATTTAATCAACCCACGGTCAAATGTACCTGCCTCAGACGGCCAGGCGTGGTCACTCATCGCCCGACGCTTTGTTAAAAAATTTGAATCGGCCCCTGGGGCTGTGGACGGGCCGTCAAAATGTATTCACCTGTCGTTATTGTCAGTCCCTCCAATGAATGTTTACCCAAGTTGACCAGTGGGTAGGCCTAACAATAAATTTTCAACTGCTGGTGAGGGAAGCGTGTGATCCGTCATAACCTATAAGCCCCGCCCACAATTCATGCACAAATCGTGTGTGAGGTGACTGGTCACAGTTTTGTTTACCTAATCTGTAACAAAGTAACAATGGACGCTGACGTGAACTTGTGACAGAAGCGTCGCTCGTTATCCGAGTGGTGGCGACCCGTGTGTTTGTTTTACAATGGCATTCGGTCTTCAGCGTCTTACTTACATAATAATAATATTTCGCTTTGTTTACCCTTGCACAAAAACAGCTACAAAAAGAAAGCTAACAAAGAAAAAAAAAACACAACAACAACAACAAACTTTCAAAAGAAAACAAACACCCTTTTGACTTCGCCTTACGGCAGTTCTTAGTCTGAGATCAGCCCCATTTTGGACCCCAGAAGGGAATGAGTTTTTTCTTTCTTTGTTTTTTTAAATCCCATGTCCTGATTTTGGTGCCGACATATTTATTAGGTTATGTAAAAATGTATTGACATGGTACAAATTGTTAAGTTTTCTAGAAAAACGAAACAAGAAAAAGGAGAATTGTTTAGTCGATGATGATGATGATGATGATGATGATGATGATGATGATGATGATGATGATGA